AAAAAAAAAAAGAAAGAAAGAAAGAAAGAAAAGAAAAATAGTCGGTCATGGTGGTTTAGTCCCGTAGTCCCAGCTACTCAGGAAGCTGAAGTGTGAGGATCACCTGACCCCAGGAGTTCGAGGCTGCAATGAGTTATGATCTCACCACTGCACTCCAGCTCGGGTGACAGAGAACAACCTTGTCTCTAAACAAACAAACAAATAAATAAATAAAAGATGAATATATTCTTAGGTCCATTATATAATTAAATAATAATAAACAAATAAGACTTAGCCCAGGTCAGGGAGGCAGAGGGGATGGGGAATCCTAAGCCATAGGCATGAAGAACAAGGAAACACCAGGACACACTTGCATTCTGCTGGTGGGTTCTGAGTCTTTACTTTATTACTATGTCACCAGAAGTCACCACCTTCACTTGGTTCACCACAAATGGATGGATGTCATAAAGGAGGGTGCCACGAGGCCACTGAACTCACTCTTGAGAGACTTAACCAGGTGTTGGGGGTTCTGGAGAGGGGGCCTAGGATGGGGACCACCCTTCACCACACACACACACACACACACACACACACACACACACAGAGATATATTTGTGGAGCCTTATATTATACATTTTATATATAGAAAATATATATATTTATACTATACACAGGCAGTAACGCTGCAGGAGGGGCCAGGGTACCCAGACAAGGGCAATGGGCATCAAGGGATGGGGAGAGTCAGGTCAGGGCAGCGCTGGGAGACAGCTGGACGGGTCTCCATAAATTCTTGGGAAGGGTGGCCCCCTTTGTGCTCCTTAGAGAACCAAAGGGGTCTTGGGTCAAGGTTGGGGGGTCCCCCAGGGCTAACAGGTGAGGATTCTTGGTTATTTGAGGAAACCTAGGACCCCCCCCCAAGAATCTTTGAAGATCAAGAATCACCAGGGAAGAATAGGTGGGGAACCGATACTAGTCCCCTGGGAATTAGCTCTTCAATTGTTATAGGTGGTTAGGGAAACACCAGACAAGACCATCTGTAATTGCACAGGGTGTCAACTCAGAAAACAGAAGACCTAGCTCCTGAACCTCTCACTCTGTGCTTGACCTTGGACAAGTCACTGTCCGCCTGCCCCAGACTCTACTGTCTCTAAGGGTTTTTGCAGCTCTGAACTTGAGCGGAATCCCAGTTTCCTGGACCTTTTCTTGTGCTTGATGGGGGAAGATGGAGCCCAAACTCTGCAAGGTAAGGCTGATGGGATCCTTTTCCAAGAACAGGTTTGGGTGCAAGGGAGAAGCAGAGAAGGCAGCAGAGGGGGGAAAAGGGACATGGGATAGCACTGGCCTATGTATGGCCTTGGGACCCCTAGAGGGCTGTCCTTAGCCAATAGGAGTAAGCTTCTCATTAACCTCTGTGGCAGTCAGGAAGGAGCCCTGGGTCTCATCCAAATCCTGCCTTGAATATCTCTCATTCCATCTCTCATCTCCATCATGGGGAGGTCCCTGCCAGGGCCCAGCCTGGTAGCAGGATCATGCCTGGGGTGCACTTCCGGGCCATACCCTGAGAAGAGTGAGAGATGCTTACTGAGATGACTCAACATTCCTGTTGGGAGTCCTGCAAGCTTTCTTTCCTAGCTGGGGTTGGCAGGGAGGGTCTGTAGTAATTGCAGGGTCTATATAGGACTAGGCAAAGCTTAACTAGTGCCCTGCCCTGTGACCTAAGATCACCAGCAGCTAGTTGGATTGCACCCTGGGGTCTCCTAATGCTCATTGGCAGAGGAGGATCTTGGTGGGAGTGGGCAAGGGGCAGGATCTCTCACAGGTTCCTGTTATGGGTATATAACTTCACTCTGCCAGAAACATTCCTGCACCCACCTTGACCTCTGGCCTGGTCAAGGTAGCAGATAACCCACTCGTGCTTTCTCCCCAATTGGGCCACCCAGGGGGCAGACAGAGTAGCAGATAACTGCTTAGGGTAGCAGGGTAGCAGATAACCCACTCGTGCTTTCTCCCCACTTGGGCCACCCAGGGGCCATAGATGGGGCCCCTTTCCCTGATGTGGAAAATAAAGCCAGCAGCAACCAGCTGTCACTCAGCTATGTGGGGTCCTCTTCCATTACTGCTGCCCCTTAGGAGGACTCAGACTGGAGTTCAGATCTGTACTCGACTGCTAACTTCCTTGTGCTCACAGAGCCTCAGTTTCCCCTTCTTTAAATGAAGACAATGATTCTACTTCTCCACTTAGAAGTTCCTTCTTCCCTTAACTCTCGTCCATCCTTAGGGCCTGTATTCACAGGAGCCTCAAGCCTGTGCCTATTTAGCGCTTTCCACCTATAACAGTACCATTACTTTGGTGTTCACCCTCCCCAGTGGACTGTAAGCTCTTCAAGCGCGGGGACCATACATACCGAAAGTGCCAAATGAACAAACATTCTTAGGAGGGGGATGGAGTGATGGTGGTGGAAACATGCAACACTGTGCCAAACTCTCTACCCCTTCTGCTCTGCTCCCTGAGGGGCCATCCAGTGGGCACTGAGCAGACAGGAGGCTGGGCCTCCAGTTCTCTCCCTATCCCTTAAGGCTCAACAAACAGCTCACCTTGTGTAAGAATCCCTCCCTGCCCCTGCTTGGAAGGAGCCACCTCTCCCTTAGGCTCCACAGCCATCTCTGTGCCTTTGGGGTTACCTGTTATCCTTTCTCCTATAGCCCATGGTCTTCCCTGGCCTACTCAGCACCAGGGACTCTCACCCATGTCATATTGGGGGCAGTGCACCCCCATGGCTGTGCTTCACAAGCTGACCTTGCTGATTCCAAGGCCCTGTCCTCTCCACTCTGCCTCCCATAGGAAGGCTGGCTCTCAGTGGGCTTTCTGAAAGGTCAGGAGAGGAATACCCCATGCCCTTTGCTGCTCCAGCCCCCAATCCCCTAACTGATCCCAGATAACAGGAGAGATAACATAGTGTCCCAGATCCATTCTGTTTCCTGGGAGGTCACAAGAGCAGAGAATGAGGGTACCTATTAGGTGGCTAGGGCCAAGAAACCTGGGCAGCAAGCCCAGCTTTGCCACTCACTCACTGCACTCTTGGGCTAATCATACCCCAACTGGACCTCCTCATCATCCAGCTAGACAAGGGCTCAGCAAGTCCTCCTAGATGCAGGTTCGGTGACCAGTCCTTTGGAAGGTCATGGGAATAGCCAGAGCTTCCCAGACTGTGGGATGCGTAGACATAGAGCATCACATGGAAACAAGTGAGGACAGGCCCTCTCAGAGGTGGCCAGTGGTGATGTGGACTGAGGGACACCAGGCAAGGTCATCCCTGGGGGAAAGGGGTCAGCAAGGGTAGAACAGGCCCATAGCTGGCAGCAGAATCATGGTGCCTCAAGGGGCTGAGGTCCCTCGGGTCTCCTATGACAGTAACACTGAGTGCCAAGCTGGGGGAGGGAGGAGGTGGGAGGTCAGGGAAGAGCAGACACTCTGCCATTAGGTGCCACTTCCATAGAGGGACCCTGGGCGAGTGACCCTGACCTCCCCAGACTTCAGTTTCCTCAACCATAAAATGGAGATAGCCCCGACACTCCTGGCCAGACTGCTATGAAGTCAAGAAGGTCTGGGGGTGACAGCCCCAGCGTCCTGCAACTGACACTCCACCATCCCTACTTCCACATCTCATCTATCCCCTTTCCAGGGACCATTTCTGCCTCTTTCATCACCCATGTGAGCACAGGCTGACACACAGTAGGCGCCCAATGAATGCTCGATGACACAAAGTATGAATGCAAACACCCCGGCACCCCCCTCCAGGCCCCTGCCAGGCACATGCTCTCAGACACACTTGCACACACATGTAGACACCCCCAACACCTGACTACCCCACCCCCATCCTGAACTACCCTGGACCTCAGTGGGACAATTCCGAGGCAGATGAGCTGCTGGGCAGAGTGGCCTGGAAGGGAGAAGGGGGTTTGGTGTAGAGGGAGGAGTGTGGGTGGAGGCATAGGGGCAGCCGGGGGACAGACTTCACTGTGGCTCAGTAACCCTGCGACTGGTAGCCCTGGGGCTCAGCGTCGAAGGCGTTGGCCGGCTGCTGGTAGGTGCCACCCATGCTGGCGGGGTCCGGCCCGGCACTGGGCTCCACGTACGGGGCGTAAGGCATGCTGGAGTCCTGGCTGGGGTCCATGTAGTCCTGGGAGAAGAGGGCCGAGTCGGCGCCAATCTGGTACCGCTGGAAGGCCAGCACAGCCTGGCCCGCCTGGGGATGGGGGCCAGTGGGGACAAGGACAGGTGGGAGGGGATGATTAGGGGAGAGACAGACAAGAGCACTGGGTTAGTAGTGGTTAGTTCACAGGACACAGTCAACAGAGTGTTAAAGATCCTCTGAGAAGGAAGGATGTACTTGCAGCCACCTTGGAGAGGCCCAGAACCATGTGTCCAGCCAGAAAGAACTGCAGAAGTCACCTGCCCATGTCTCTCAATCCCAGAGGTCATTCTAGGCCAAAAAATTCTATATGTCCGTTAGGGAGTGTTAAGATAGCCCAGAGGTCCACAGCCTCCTTCTAACTGTGTCTCCAGGGGTTTTACATGGAATGGGAAAAGTTTCTTTGTGGGAAAGAGAAATGTTGGCAGCTCCTAAAAGCTATTCTTCTATCTCTCTTGCAGCTAGGACTGGCCATGTGACTAAAATTTGGCCCCTGGGGTGCCCAGTGTTCTTTGTCCTACCCTCTGACCTGATGCTCAGAATGCAGATGTGATGGATGGAGCTCTAGTTGCCCAAGTGGACCGTAAGCTAAATTGTAGGACTGGAACATGCCTGGGTCACGGAAGACCCCTGGAGTCACTAGGCCTGTCCTGGACCAGCTCCTCACACTTGGACTTTGTTTATACAACCATTATTTGGGAATTTTGCCACTTACTGCTGCCCTTAACTCTAACTGGAATACTTGGTAAACAAACAAACAAAAAAAACTTGTTGGTCAAATAAGTTTGGGAAACTGAGTTAAACAGTGAAACAAGTTTCAGGGCTTGGCGCCTGTGGCTCAAGTGGCTAAGACGCCAGCCACATACACCTAAGGTGGTGGGTTCAAATCCAGCCCGGACCCGTCAAACAACGACGGCTGCAACCAAAAAATAGCCGGGCATTGTGGCGGGCGCCTGTGGTCCCAGCTACTTGGGAGGCGGAGGCAGGAGACTCGCTTGAGCCCAGG